AGGGATTTGCCAACCGTAGGGACTTCATGAAAATAGGTTCCCTACAGGCATTTTCCATTTGTATCTGGATTCTCCCACTGCATATAATGTCTCGGTCATCCACGCTGCTGCCCGGGTCGGAATGGCCTTCACATCTCGTTGTGTGGCGGGAACAGTTTGTCTGTTAGCTGGAGGCCTTCGGGACACAGAGCCGTTCTGGCTCACCGACCACTGAGAGTGACGACACTGGCTGAGCAGATGCAACGAGGCCACTCTGACCTTCCTGTTGTCTCTCAGAAGCAGGAGATGAGGTTCTGTAGGAAAGAGCCCCCCATCCCTGCCAGGAGTAGACTCAAACTCCTCACCAGTGCCGGGACGCTGGGGCTGAGGAAAGTCTGAAATGTGTGCAGTCAGACTGCTGGACCACCTGCTAGACCAGCCTCCCCTCCCGCAGCCCCTCCCACACACTTACCATGGCAGGCCAAGCCCTCTCTTTGCCTGGTCGCCTGCCTTCTTTCTCACCTTCCTTCTTTCTCTCTTTCCTTCCTTCCTTCTCTTCCTCCTCCCCTCCTTCTCCCTCCCTTCCTTCTCTCTTTTCTCCTTTCTTTCCTTCCTCCCTTCTCCTTCCCTTCCTTCCTTCTCTCCTTTCCTTTTTCCTTCTTTCTTTCCTTCCTTCTTTCTTTTTTCCAGTCCTGGGGCTTGAACTCAGGGCCTGGGCGCTGTCCCTGAGCTCCTTTTGCTCAAGGCTAGCGCTCTACCACGTTGAGCCACAGCACCACTTCCTGCTTTTTCTGTGTATGTGGTACTGAGGAATGGAACCCAGGGTTTCATGCATGCTAGGCAAGCGCTCTACCACTGAGCCACATTCCCAGCCTTTCCTTTCTTTCTTTCTTTTTTTTTTTTTTAAACCTGTTCAGACGGAGTCTCATAACAGCATCATAACAATGCATGCTGGCTTCAAACTCCCAATCCTCCTGCCTCAACTTCCCAAGAGCTGGGATTATAGTAGAGTGCCACCATGGGCAGCAAGCCCAAGCCTCTTTCTCTTGCCCATTTTCATAAATGATTGCTTGTTTTTTTTGTTATTGTTCCTTTTATTTCTTTTTCTCGATTGGGGCAGGGAGGAAGAGAGCAAAGTACTAGAGTTGGAACTTAGGGCCTCCTGCCTGCCAGGCAGGTGTTCTACTATTTGTGCTACTCTTTGTGTCTTAATTCTATGCCTGAGTAGAAACATCATCATGGTAGAGAGAGGGACATTGTAGATAGAGAGCCAAAACTGGCCAGGCGTGATACACATGCTTGTAATCTCAGGAGAATCTGAAAAGATAGTGGCCACAGTGGCGCTGTGGCTCAAGTGGTACAGCGCTGGCCTTGAGCTGAAGAGGCTCAGGGACAGCACCCAGGCCCAGAGTTCAAGCCCCATGACCGACAAAAAAAAAAAAAAAAGCTGGGTATGTAGCTCAGTTCTAGAACAATTGCATAGCAACAACAAAAAGCAAATCCAAACTTACCTTGGACTGTTTTTAGTTGCATTTAATAGGAAAGTACTGTCCACCTCTGTATCAGACCTAAGATCAAACTTTATTTATTCATTGCAGGTCCTGGAGCCTGATCTCAGAACCTGGGCACTGTTCCTGAGCCTCTATGTGCTCAAGGCTAGCACTCTACCACTTGAGACACAATGCCACTTTCAGCTTTTTCTGAGGAGTTTAGTGGAGATAAGAGTCTCACAGACTTTTCTGCCTAGGCTGGCTTCGAACTGCAAGCCTCAGATCTCAGCCTCCTGAGTAGCTAGGATGACAGGCATGAGCCACCAGCCTGGGCTCATCTTGATTTTAGATAAACTCTTCGGAGATAAGCTGGGTGACTTCCTTAACCTCCACCTACCCTAAAGCTAAGAATGACAGCTGGGCCAGTCGCCGGTGGCTCACGCCTATCATCCTGGCTACTCAGGAGGCTGAGATCTGAGGATCACAGTTCAAAGCCAGCCCAGATAGGAAAGTCCGTGAGACTCTTATCTCCAACAAAACACTAGAAAACCAGAAGTGACGCTGTGGCTCAAGTGGTAGAGCACCAGTCTTGAGCTGAAGAGCTGAGGGACAGCGCCCAGGCCCACAGTTGAAGCCCTACAACCAACAACAACAAAAAAAGAATGATAGCTGGGCACTGGTGGCTCATATCACCAGTTCAGGAGGCCGAGATCCAAGGAGGAGCAGGGTTCAAAGTCAACTGGGCAGGAAAGTCTGTGAGACTCTTATCTCCAATGAACCATCAGAACAGAAAGTAGCACTGTGGCTCAAAGTGACAGAGCACTAGCCTTGAGCAAAATAGCTTGGGAATGGGGCTGGGAACGTGGCTTAGTGGTAGAGCACTTTCCTAGCATGCATGAAGCCCTGGGTTCAATTCCTCAGTACCACATATACAGAAAGAACCAGAAGTGGTGCTGTGTCTCAAGTGGTAGAGTGCTAGCTTTGAGCAAAAGAAACTCAAAAGAAGCAAAGCTCAGGGACAGTGCCCAGATCTTGAGTTCAAGCCCCATGAAATCTCTAAAACTGTAATCCAAGCCTGTGAGGAGTGAGCTTCTTACATTTTCTGGAGCTAGGAAACATTCCTAAATCTGTCCCCTAAGAGCAGCGGTAGGACTTCCACCAGGACCAGGGAATCTAGATAAAAGAGGGAAGTCTGAGGGAGCCCGGTCTTCAGGGACAGACCATGCTGCGTAAGACCTCTCCCTGGTGTTCAGGTAGAGCCTAGTGCTCAAGGCCCAAGGCCCATCCTTGTCTTGAACTGTCCTGCTATCCCTACTCTCTGGCTTAATGTTCCCCAGGGCCAGGGCCAGGGTCTCCCTAAGGTCCTTCCAATGTGCCACCCCTTCCTCCCAGTGCAGTGCCTCCCTCCCAGGCAGGGCCACCCTTCCGGGGCCTGCCTGCCTTCTCAGGAGCCAGCTGACCTGGGCCTACCACAGGAGGAACCCCCCTGACACACAGAAAGGGGATGGTGGGCTGCAAAGGTGGCTCAGTGCTAGAGTGCTTGCCTCGCATGCATGAAGCCCTGGGTTCCATTCCTCAGCACCACACACACAGAAAAAGCTGGAAGCGGCACTGTGGCTCAAGTGCTAGAGTGCTGGCCTTGAGCAAAAGAAGCTCAGGGACAGTGCCCAGGCTCTGAGTTCAAGCCCCAGGACTGACAACAACAACAACAACAAAATGAGGTGGCCTCTAGTTAGCCAGTTTGGCAGTGTTTTGTCAAGAGAGATCCAGTTTCCAGAAGGTTTTTACTCTGGATCATCTAGGAAAGGTTTGGACTTTGATCATTAGTGGCTACTGACAAGTTCTCACAAAAATACTAGATTCAACTGCTCTGACTGGTGGCTCTTCCCCTTGGGTGTCTCAGAAGCTCCTGGAGAGCTAAAAAGGAGCCAGGCTCAGGGACAGAGGACAGCTCGGCATCTCTGTGTGACTGCTGGGTGCAGAGCTCGTGAAACTTGAGCAGTGTGCTTTCCTGAGTTTTCCCTTTGGAAAGCCGAGTCCTCTGGCTAGTAGTTCCCCGAGGCCCCTGCCTTCGTGCCTCTGCTCCTCTCTCCTGGTGCTTTGGGTTTACCTGGACTACAGGTGAGAGGAGAGAGCCAGCCTGATAGGGGTGAGAAGGGAGGGCTGTAGGTGGCAGGTGGGGAGGGGTGAAGTCAGCTTGGAGATGGCGTCCATCAGACGGGTGGGGAGGGGGGGCGGGGGGGGGCGGGGAGGGGGGGCGGGGGGGGGGCGGGGAGGGGGGGGCGGGGGGGGGCGGGGGGGGCAGGTGGGGAGGGGTGAAGTCAGCTTGGAGATGGCGTCCATCAGACGGGCGGGGAGGGGGGGGCGGGGGGGGGGGCAGCCTGGTGCTGCAGGCTCTGGGACTGCACTGGTCACTGTCACCTCTGGCTGCTTCTCGGGTTTCATCAACGGCTCACTGGGTGTCTGCAAGGCTGGCGTGGGAGCAGGAACTGTGCATGCTGAGTGCGTGGCAAGTGCTCAGTAGTAGGAGCTGCTGTCACCCAGCGATCCGATCTTTCTTTTTGTTTTTTTTTTTTGGGTCCTGTCGTGGGGCCTGAACTCTGGGCCTGGGCGCTGTCCCTCAGCTCTTCAGCTCAAGGCTAGCGCTCTACCACTTGAGCCACAGCGCCACTTCCGGTTTTTCTTTTTGCTTATGTGGTGCTGAGGAATCGAACCCAGGGCGTCATGCATGCAAGGCAAGCACTCTACCACTGAGCCACCTTCCCAGCCCGATCCGATCCGGTCTTTCTTAGGTGGATGCTGGAGGCAGGCCCAGGCCTCAGGGCCCCGGGCCCGGCCCCTCCCCCTCCCGGACCGTGCGGTCGCCTTGTGTCGCGTGTCGCGGCTCCGCACCAGACTTCGGCCACCAGCCTAGCCGGGCTTCAGGTGCCACCACCCAGGGCGCCCGGGGTCCCGGACCTCAGAGCCGGGCAGGGAGGGGGGAGGGGAAGGGGCGCGCTCCCGGGGAGGGGAGGGGCGCGCTCCCTGGGAGGGGAGGGGCGCGCTCCCTGGGAGGGGAGGGGGGAGCGCGCGCCCGGGGAGGGGAGAGGGAGGGGTGCGCGCGCCCGGGGAGGGGGAGGGTGCGCGCGCCCGGCCGGGGCCGAGGGGAGCTCCGGGTCTGCGGAGCCACTCGTGGGGCCGCGGCGACCCCTCCCCGGGCCCGGCTGCCGGCCCCGTCTCCGCGCGGCGCGGGGCACCAGCGAGTCGTCCCGCGGCACCGGCCCGAGGACCGAGGCGGAACTGGGGATGAATGAAGGAGTGAGCGGCGGGCGGGGTCCGGTCCCGCGCTTCCCTGCCCCGAGGGCGGGGCCAGGCCGGGGCGTGGCCACCCGGGCCCCGCCCCCGCGCCGCGCCGCGCGGGCTCGCGGGTTCGCAGCCGCCGGCTGAGGTCAGAGGAGGCGGGCGGCGCGTCCGAGCCGGGCGCCTGCGCGAGCCGGGGCCGCGCCGGACGCAGCAGCCGCGGGCCGGGCGCCGGGAGCCCGGGGAGGCGAGCGAGCCAGCGGCGGCCGAGCCGGCGACAGCCGCGGCCCCGCGCCGCGCGGCCCGGCCGGCATGGAGCCGGAGTGCCGCGTGCTCTCCATCCAGAGCCACGTCGTCCGCGGCTACGTGGGCAACCGGGCGGCCACGTTCCCGCTGCAGGTACGCGCGCCGCGCCTTACGTAACCCGCCCCGGCCCGAGCCGTGACCTTGGCGCGGCCCCGCGCTCCCGCCGGGCCGCCGACCCCGGGGTGGGGGTGGGGGCGCAGACCCCGGGGGGGTGGGGGTGGGCGCAGACCCCGGGGTGGGGGTGGGGGCGCAGACCCCGGGGGGGTGGGGGGCGCAGACCCCGGGGTGGGGGTGGGGGGCGCAGACCCCGGGGGGGGTGGGGGTGGGCGCAGACCCCGGGGTGGGGGGTGGGCGCAGACCCCGGGGTGGGGGGTGGGGGGCGCAGACCCCGGGGGGGGTGGGGGTGGGCGCAGACCCCGGGGTGGGGGTGGGGGCGCAGACCCCGGGGGGGGGTGGGGGGCGCAGACCCCGGGGTGGGGGGGTGGGGGGCGCAGACCCCGGGGGGGGTGGGGGTGGGCGCAGACCCCGGGGTGGGGGTGGGCGCAGACCCCGGGGTGGGGGTGGGGGCGCAGACCCCGGGGTGGGGGTGGGGGGGCGCAGACCCCGGGGGGGGTGGGGGGCGCAGACCCCGGGGGGGGGTGGGGGGGCGCAGACCCCGGGGGGAGGTGGGGGGCGCAGACCCCGGGGGGGGGCGCAGACCCCGGGGGGGGGCGCAGACCCCGGGGGGGTGGGGGGCGCAGACCCCGGAGGGGTGGGGGGGCGCAGACCCCGGGGGGGGGCGCAGACCCCGGGGGGGTGGGGGGCGCAGACCCCGGGGGGGGTGGGGGGGGCGCAGACCCCGGGGTGGGGGGTGGGCGCAGACCCCGGGGGGGGTGGGGGACGCAGACCCCGGGGGGGGTGGGGGGGACGCAGACCCGGGGGGGGGGGGGACGGAGCCGGGCCGGCGACCCCGAGGGGGGGGGTGTCGAGGCGCCCGGGCGGAGCGGCGCGGGCTCGCGGACCCCGCCCCGCGGCCCGGGGAGGACCCGAGGTCGGCCCGGCGCGCTCACCTGCGGGGCCCAGGTTCGGCCGCGTCCCTCCCACCCGGGGGCGGGAGGTGGGGGGACCCGCTCGGCCGACGGTTCTTGGGGGCGGTCGGTGGGGGCGACGGCGCAGCCCCCAGCATCCTGCCAGGTGGCTCCATCCTTTCCGGGCCGCGGATCCTCCCTCCTGCCCACGGCTGGGGGCCCGGGCGGGGCCGAGGCTGGCTGGGGCTCGTGGGCCTTGAGGCCAGGAGAGGACCTGGGTAGGCGGTGTCCGGCCGGAGGCGGTGTCCCTTGCCTGGCTGGCTAGCGGGAAGCCTGGCTGGGCCTGGCTAGCAGGTGGCAGGGTCCTCCAGCAGGGGAGGGGAGGCGGCCGGTGTGGCAGGGCCTGGACCCCTGTTCCACGTGCCCCGTTGCTGAGCCGCGCCCAGGAGAGGTGAAGAGGGGCCACCTGGCACGGTGGGCCCGCCAGACACCTGCGGGTGGAAGGAAGGAGGAAGGACGGGGGCTGAGTCTGAGCAGAGTCTGAGGGCTTGTCCTGTGGCTGACACACCTGGCAGTAGAGCACAGAGGTGTGGGTGGAAAGTCCAAAGGTGCAGGGGACAGGGAGGGGGTGGGGAGCGTCTGGCAGGGTCACTAAGGTGAGGGTCCAGGGGTCCCGGAGCAGTACAGCCTGAGCGGCCTCCTGTCTTGGGCCGAGGCACAGTGCTCCTGAGGCCTCTGTCCTGGCCCTCCTCCCCACACCACTCCTGCGGCTCCTCTTCCTCCTTCACTGGATAAACTGTCCCCTCCTCCACTTCCCTGGAAGCTCCCGGCAGGATCCTCTGTTCCTAAATTACCAGGCAGCTGCTCTCAGCTTCCACACCAAGAATGAGGACAGGGTGTCCAGCTGTTGGAGGGAAGGGGGCTCCCCAGCCCCATCTGGGGAGGTAGGTGCCTCTTAGGACCAAGGCTTCCACGGGCTAGTGGAGGCCTCTCCTCGAAGGTCCAGAGCTTCTAGTGGGGACCTCGGTGTGGGGGTGGGTTAGTTCACTTTTTGTTGTTGTTGGTGGTGGTGGTGGTGGTCATGGGGCTTGAACTCTGGGCCTGGGCACTGTCCCTTAGCCCTTCAGCTCAAGGCTAACACTCTACCACTTGAACCACAGCACCACTTCCGGTTTTCTGGTGGTTAATAAGAGTCTCACAGACTTTTGTGCCAGGGCTGGCTTTGAACCATGACCCACAGATCTCAGCCTCCTGAGTAGCTAGGATTACAGGCATGAGTCACAGGCGCCTGGCCCCAAGCTTATATTCTTAATTTTGATTCACACTGTACACCATGGACATCGCAAGTCTTGTCCACATAGCTGAATATAAGGAAAGAAAAGTTAGAAAAGGGCCCCAAAGGTTTTTTCCTAACATTGCTCTGGGAGACCAGGGGTGAGAGGTCGCTTGTGAGGACGGTGTCCAGAGGTGATGTCATGAGGCGAGCATCCTCTTGTCCTGGAACTCCAGCTAGGGATTGGAGAGTGCAGAGGAGTCCCATCCTTAGTCCTGGGTGTGGCAGGTGCCCGTGGCTGGGGAGAGTGGTTGGCTGTGGCATGGAACAGATTTGCGCCTCAGGACAGTTGGTCCACGGTCTCCTGCTCGGTGCTCCAGCCCAGCCAGCCTCACTGTTTATTTGTTTGTTTGCTTTTTTGGGGGGGCCAGTCGTGGGGCCTGAACTCTGGGCCCAGGCACTGTCCCTCAGCTCTTCAGCTCAAGGCGAGTGCTCTACCACTTGAGCCACAGCGCCACTTCTGGCTTTTTTTCTTTTTGCTTATGTGGTGCTGGGGAGTCGAACTCAGGGCCTCAGGCATGCAAGGCGAGCGCTCTACCACTGAGCCACCTTCCCAGCCCCAGGCCTCACTGTTTTTGTGCAGCCTCCTTCCCTGGGCCAAGAAAAATGTACAAAGAGAAGATTGCAGAACCTTCACACTGTTTTGGGTTTTTGTTTCTGGGCCAGAATCCAAGGAGCATTTTAGTATTGAGGGGAACCTCTGCATCTGATCAGAGCTGGCAGGCGGCCGCAGGCAGGTGGCGGGGGCGTGAGGCTGATGCGCGCGGTGGGGCATGCTGTGGTCTTCATGGCCTCCTTCCCTGTCCCACAGACGGGGCTGAGTCCAGGACACCAACTAGGCTTCTGAGTGCAAGGACCTCCAGCTGTTCCGGGCCTGCATAGTAGAGTGTAGAAAAACAGGGCTGAAGCCAAGAAGCCCTGCTGCCTCTCCTCCCAGACTCCACCAGGCTCTTGTATTTTTTTTTTTCAGTCTTTTATTTTTTGTGTTTTGGAACTAGGGCTTGAACTCAGATCAGGGCCTTTTGATCTCAAAGTCTCTCGGATCTGACTGCCGGACTTGTTCAAGTCGCTAAGATTATAGACACAAACCACTACTGCCCACATTCCCCCTTTCGTTTGTCTGCCATGCTGGAGATTAAGCCCACTGCCTCTTTGCCCTTAGCCGCACGTTCCTCTCGCCCACTTCCGGAAATGAGTCCTCCAGGACCGGGTTTTGAATGTCCTGAGTCTCGTGGGTGTCTGCAGAGCCTTGCTGGTGTGTTGACTCTGCAGCTCCTGTGTTTGCAGCCCCTGCCCGGTGGCAGAGATGGCAGGGTGCCCAGGCCAGCCCCCAGCCCTGCTTGTGCTCTGCGGCTTGCCAGGGTGGTAAAGACATGGTGTGCCAAACTCGGGACATGTTAGAATGTCACCACCGTGCTGCAGACTGGCTGCCTTCAAACACAGTTATTCTCTGCTCATCTGAGACCCCAAGTCTGGGACCTGGAGTTCAGCAGGGCCCTGCTTCCTCCAGAGGCCAATCCTTCCTGCCTCTTCCCTCTTCCGGTAGTCCCTAGCCGTCCCCAGGCTCCTAGCTGCATGGCTCCTCTCTGCCGCTTGACCTGCTCCCCTGTCTGCCTTCCTTCTGCCCTTGCTCCTAAGGCTTCTTGTCAGGAAATCCAGGGTCTACATAGAAAATCCAGGACGATCTCATCTTGAAATCTTTATTAACTTATTTGCAGCCACAAAGACCTTTTCTCCAAATACAGGCATGTTTACGAGTTCCCTGGGCAGGCCTGCCATGTCCGCTGTGGGTCAGAAGAACCTTCGGAGAAGGTCGACAGTGGCCCAGTGTAGGGTGCAGTGAGAGCCTGGGTCTGGTGACCTCAGGGTGACTATTCTGGAGGGGCGGGGCGGCCTGGCCGTCCGTCTTGCCGTGGCTCCTGGGCCTCCAGCCAAGCTGGGTCTCCGGAGGGTGGTCGTGGGCCTCCTTGCCAGCGCCTGTCCTCTGGGGCAGATGAGCCAGACCTGTGCCTTCAGCTGGGCCTGTGGACCTCTGGAGCCCTGCCCCAGGCACGGGCGTCTCAGACATGTGTGACTTCCGTGACCCTCGGGGAGTGACGGTGCCACACGCTCACCCACCGTCCTCCACCAACATTGACTTTGAGAGTCTAACCTCAAAACCGAAACAGCAGGGCCACACCGTGGGACACCCCTGCCGTACTGGCCCCCGGAGGCTATACGGTGGACAGATAGCTTGGTTGGTTTAGGGCCTGTGGTCCAGACGGTGGTCCAGGCCTGGAAACATTGATCTGGCTTAGACTCTCCTTTGAGAAGGAACAAAACTGCTTCTACCCTTGACCTTTCCAACTCTGAGCTGGAAGTGGCATTTGTCTTGTGGCTCCTTGAGTTTGGGGTGAAGTTCTGTTTGTAGTCTTTAGCTGCTAAGGAGAGTGTTTGAATCTTATTTTTCTCATCTGCTTCCCCTCCCTCTGGCCTGGACTGTGTCTGTGTGTGTAATCACAAATATGAGCACGCATGTGTGTGAGTACTGGTGAGCATGTGTACGTGCGTGGTTGTATGTAAGCGTGACTGGACATACATGTGGGTGAGCGTGTGTCCTGTGTGAGTGTGTGCAAGTATGACTGCCAGTGCATATGTGTGGTGGGCACTGTGCATGCGCCGTTGTGTGTGCAAGCCTGAGTGTGGGCACGCTTCACGTCAGCGTGCGTGAGCATTGTACAGGTGTAGTGATGTGGTGCTTGTCACTCTGCCCA